AAAAGAGAAAATTCTTTTTTCTGTAAAATAGATACATCATCAAAAAGAATCCAAATAAAAAGAAAATACTGAAGGTTGGGATTTGAATCCATGCCTCCCTATCAGGAAGCAGTCTAGAAGGGTTCAGGGGAAGGAAATTACTTCTATCAACATCGAAGTTGTCTTCTGGAAGAAGCTTTGATGGTGTTTTTTACATGCAGTTAAGCACAGGCTAACATTCTAAAATCGTTTATTTTTTAAATAAGCGAGACCTCTAAGTGTGCCTTGGAGATCACACTGTTTGCAAGGAGACAAATTCTTGAAAAGTCTGTTGACAGCTGATCTGTTGCAACACCTAAAGAGAACAGTGAGAACAGCAGAGAGAACAAGGAGCTTCACACTCACAGGTGGTCCACAGGCAGGGGGGTCTTTGAACAGCTGAACTTACAGAGCTGCTGCCTCATATGTTAGGGTCAAAGAATAGGTTTGACAAATGGGAAAGAGTTGGTTCCTGTGACCTTTTCTCTTGAGGAGTAGGGACGTTCTTTTTGGTTGTCTTTAGGTATAAAGGCAGCAAATATTAGGTGCTTTTGTAGGACTACAGAGATAACACTGGCCATTGGAAAGGGCAGCTAAATTCTGTTCATTAGCAGAAAGTAAGACCTAAACAATAGCTGGGGATCAGAAACAAAGGAAACATGATTTTTTTTTTTTTAAAAAAAGAAAATTATTTATTGAAGATCTGGATGAATAGCCATCAATGAAACAAATAGTCATAATGTTATCTTTTTTCCATTTTCAAGGAACTTGATCTTCTGTGCACCAAAGAGTTTTTCTAAAACGTTTAGAATTTGGTTTCGTCCAAGATTCCTGCAATTAGAAGGCAGGATATTCCTTCTGTATGCAGAAGGGAACATTGAAGTCTGTGAAATGAAAACCCAAGTCAGGCTGGATTTTCCCCACTTGTGTCTCTGGTGTAGAGTTTGATCACTGCCCACGAGCAGTTCAAGGCCACGCTGCCCGAGGCGGACGGGGAGCGGCAGTCCATCCTGGCCATCCAGAACGAGGTGGAGAAGGTGATTCAGAGCTACAACATCAGAATCAGCTCGAGCAACCCATACAGCACTGTCACCATGGATGAAATCCGGACCAAGTGGGACAAGGTGGGCCACTGAGGGCATTGTTGAAATGGAGGTCATGGAAGAGGTTAACACCTTGGGGACTTAGGGTGATGGCCTGATTTTGCATCGTGATCTGGATTTTGCTTCATCTCAAATTTCACAGACAAAATGTGTTAAACTCTTAAGAGCCATTCAGCAGCTTCTGCAGTTTGTGGGGAAAGAAAATAAAGATTATTTTTCTTAAAGAAAATCTTACAAATATTGACAAAATCAGAACAAATTATGATACTAATACCATAAGGGAAATTATTTTTAAAACCCCAACTGGAAATTTGGTGCTATCAGTTTACCTATAGTGCTACTTCTAAAGAATTTTTAGAATATGAGATAGACATGTCCCAAATGCATATGAATTTTAAACGTAGAAAAATTGCTTCGAACACTACATGTAGGGAATGAAAGTATTCCTACTAACTTGCTGCCTTTTAAATTCTGGGAAACTGTCCACAAATCTAATTATAGTCAAAATGGGGTCATTTGAGTCTTTTTGTCTCATTCTTAAGAGAAATTCCTCTTCATGGTTGAAATTATAGCACAATTAGTCATCTCAGTATGCTAATACACAGTCTTTAAGGAGTAAGTCCACAATGCAGAGTTGAAGCAACTTACTATAAAAATACACACGAAACAAGTTAGTTACACACAGTGCAAAACAGAAAAATAGGTAGGGGAAAAAAGGGAGTATTCATCTGAGAGACGGTAATTAGTTTAGTGCATCTGAACTTCAAATTAGCTCTGGTCTTCCTGACAACCAGAGTCAGAAAGGAAAGAAACATGCTGAGCTAATCAGTTTTCTTGGAAAAAATAAAATAAGGAAATGCATCATTTCTTAAAGTGATACAAACCTTTCTTCTGTCGGTAAGTTATAAAGCGAATAGATTTTTGTAAAAGGGACACAAGAATAATGCCTTTAGCAACAGTTTTGCGATGGTAGCAAAAAAGGATTTTTGAAATAGCTTTTTTTTTTTTCTGGCGATTCAAAGACAGGTGAGGCGATTCAAAGACAGGTGTGAGGCGTAGCGCTGTGATTCACAAAAGGAGTGGAGGGCAGGTGGAGATGCTCTCCTGTCGGCAAACCCAGCAGGGGCGTTCTTTACTTTTTTGCATCATGAACCCCTTGGGCAGTCTGGGGGAAGCCTTTGGATCTCTTCTGATCATAATATTTGCAAATTCATAAAAATATTTAAGAACACAAAGGAAATAAATTATATTGAAATGTAGTTATTAAAATATTTTTTAAAAGTTGAGATACAGTAATGGACGTGCTTCATTGTTAACACATCTACAACCAAGACCTGACAGCAAGTCTAATAATTTTGCAGTAGCACTGAGTATACAGGATATTGCAAGAGACAGGTAATAACTGTAATACTACACAGAATGTCTGCGATTTCTGTTGTGATAGAGTCACGGGGACTGCTGAATGCTGCTGCAGATTGGCTGCCCACATTCATAATCGGAGGAAATGCTAACTTTCAGTAGAGATGGTGAAAATAAAGATGTCAGTATTGCCCTCATCCAAGTTGACAAATCCTCTGCATTCTGGACCCGGCCTCCACAGGGTTGGTGCTGCAAAGCCAAGAGCCCATGGCTGGAGGACTCGTCACTATCCCTAGTGCAGGCTTGTAAATACCCTTCAACTCTTCTGGTCTTTCAGTAGGCACTCGGTGGCACTAGGTGGCAGTCAAAGCTAGATTGATAGCCAGGCATGGTGGCCTGTGCCTGTAGTCCCTGCTGCTCAGGAGGCTGAGGCAGGAGGCTCACTTGAGTCCAGGAATTCAAGGCTGCAGTGAGCCAGGGTGATGCCACTGCATTCCAGCCTGGGCAACAGAGTGCAACCAACCCTGTCTCTTAAAAAAAAAACAAAATGGCAGATTGAGCTCTCTCGTCCCTCAAGCAGGGACTCCCATTCCCCTTCTTCTCACCACTGGCCTTCTCCCCTCCCCCTCTTTCTTCCTCCTCAGCCTCCTTCCTCACCCTCCGCCTTCTTTCCTTCCTCTCCACTCCCACTCCTTGGACTATTACCGCATCCTGTGTTCATTCTTGTGTGACCAAAGCTGGCCTCTGATCCCTGTTGTCCTTGGGCCCTGACAGGTGAAGCAGCTGGTGCCCATCCGCGATCAGTCCCTGCAGGAGGAACTGGCTCGCCAGCACGCTAACGAGCGTCTGAGGCGCCAGTTTGCGGCGCAGGCCAATGCCATTGGGCCATGGATCCAGAACAAGATGGAGGTAGGTCAGCGCCCTTCCAAGAGCTGTCCACGAGCCCCGCCATGAGTCCCTTTGCTGATGCAGGAGCGACACCTCTTACACTGCAGCTTCTGGCCACCCTGACTGTCATCTGAGAGCACCGTGCTGTTGTCACTCACGATTTTATCTTTTCAGCCCCTGGGCTGCTGTGGGCCTTGTGCACCCAGGCACGGTACAGAATGCAGGGAGGGATGTCAGGGGGCGAGGATGTTCACGTTCTCTGCTCATGGCCTCTGCAGGACCTAAATTTTAAACCATCCATCCCTAAGGAGAAGGACATGTGAAGACCCACAAGTACTTTGCATTTTCAGAACATTTAAGGGAAAGTGGTCTTCGAATAGCACTGATGTCTGGGTACAATTTGCTGACCAAGGACAGCTAGGAGACATTTACTGGCCTACTTATCTCTCACCCCACCTCCCTTTTGGTGATAAAACATTAACTTTTTTCTGAAAGGGGAGAACATCTAAAAATAAAAGAAATTCTTCTGATAGAGGGGACTCTGGTGGTCTTAACTCTACGTGGCAGCTCCAGCCACGCAGCCCACCACTGGCCGCCCCCAGAACAGGGCAGCCCTACCCGAGGGAGTTGCCATGGACATCCAGTAGGCTGAAAGGACTCACCTCTTAACCCCTCGCGCTTTTCTGTTTTGGATCTTAGTTAGCTGTGTTCCCAGTCTCTAGACAGACTAGAACGAGACCTTGCTTTGTCCTGTGCTCCTACCCATGTCCCACTTTACCTGAGAAAAATGAGCCACGCGACTTTGGCCGCGGCCTGATGCGGTGGAGTCAGGAGCGACACCTCCTGCAGAGGCCCCTCATTTTGCTTCTCTGCCTGCCCGCCTGCCCCGTCAGGAGATTGCCCGGAGCTCCATCCAGATCACAGGAGCCCTGGAAGACCAGATGAACCAGCTGAAGCAGTATGAGCACAACATCATTAACTACAAGAACAACATCGACAAGCTGGAGGGAGACCACCAGCTCATCCAGGAGGCCCTCGTCTTTGACAACAAGCACACGAATTACACGATGGAGGTACAGCTGCCAGATTGGCCTGGGTCGCTTTCGTTTCGTCCCATTGTGACCATGTCACCACCTCAGGGTGTTCTCTTCACCCACTTGTCTCTCTCTGTTCCTGTTAAATTCTACAAGTATGAAGGTCAGGGATCTTTACGCCTGTCCAGTCACTATGTGTGGAAGAGCTTTGTGAACTCTACCAAGCTCTGTATAATAGTTAGCAGCAGCAGCAGCGATGACATCGTAATTATTATTATCACCACTGTGAATTCATTACACTTCTTCAGAGACAGTACCTGAAACTGGACTGTGGCATTTCCACCAGTTTGGCCCAAATTGATCTCTCTGGGTGCCAGCAGGTATAACCAGGGCCCGCACCTGCTACTGGGTGAATGGAAAAATATTTTTAGTGACAAGTAAGTCTATATACATAATATATTTAAACTACAAAGTGCCAGTTATCTCTGTTAGAACCCTGGGCTCCGTTCTGAGTACTTCCCACTGCAGAATCCTGCAAAAAATGAGAAAGTCGAATTTTTTTTTAACATAGGGAAATCTGTCACAACCCTATTTATAGTAAGCCCTTTGAGCCGACTCCACTGTCATGATCGTGGAGAGGCAGAACCGACATGCTGGAAAAAACTAGAGCTCATCCTCCCCTTTCCCCTCGGCAGCACATTCGTGTCGGGTGGGAGCTGCTGCTGACGACCATCGCCAGGACGATCAACGAGGTGGAGACCCAGATCCTGATGAGGGACGCAAAGGGCATCACCCAGGAGCAGATGAACGAGTTCAGAGCCTCCTTCAACCACTTCGACAGGGTACCACACTCTGCTTGTCTGAAGGGCGGTACTGGGGACATTAAACAGGGTGTCCGAAATAATCTGCATGCTTCCATTTTAAGTCTTAATGCCCCAACAAGTTTACAGGGAAACAGGATGATTAATGGCAAAGGAAAATAGCCACCACAACCAAGTATCCTAAGCTCTGATGTTGTTCAGGGGAACACCAAGTCTAGATCTGTGTGATGTCTTATGCAGATCCTTAGTGCGAACGCATTCGTAGTCGCTATCAAAGCTTGATTTGTTGTAAGTCAAAGTCTTTCCTTAACAAAATGTGGTTGTTGGACTTAGGTCATTTTCCAAAGACTGAAATACAAAACTCTGATGTACTTTTCCCAAGGAGCTGTTAGGTAAAGCACCTGATGATAATTTAACCTACTCTTTCGACATGTAAATCTCAGTTTTCTTTTTTAATTAACAAAATCAGTTCATGATAATGTTTTAAGGAAATGCGCCAACAAAATGGTGATAATTTTAATAGTAAAGACAAATAAAAAGTTAAGTACTGGCCTAGCATGGTGGCTTATGCCTGTAACCCCAGCACTTTGGGAGGCCAAGGCAAGAGGATCGCTTAAGGCCAAGAGTTCAAGACCAGCCTGGACAACGTAGTGAGACCTGTCTCTAAAAAAGAAAAAAAGAAATTAAAAATTAGCCAGTGACACAGAGTAAGGCTGCAGCATTTGCACAAGGAAGGGGATGTCCCCTTTCCCTGATGGCTGGGGGCCAGGCTGACTTGGGGGCAGACACAACACTACGCCCCACTCACTTAGATGTACTGAAATTCCACCATGGGGGTCTCAGCCTGGAGGCTTAGGGACTGTTCTTAACACTAGGGGGCTGGCCCTCTAGGAGGGTGGGCCCTAACATACAGACCCCCCCAACTCCAAAGGGGGGAGGAGATATTTATTTAGGGGAAAAAGTTTAGAGGGGAAGAATTTATTAATAAAGAAACCTTTAACTTTAAAAAAAATTGGCTGGGTGTGGGGGTGTGTGCCTATAGTCTTAGCTATGCAGGAGGCTGAGGCAGAAAGATCGCTTGAGCCCAGGAGTTCAAGGCTGCAGTGAGCTATGATTGCACCACTGTACTCCAGCCTAGGTGACAGAGAGAGACAGACCCTATTTCTAAAAAAAATGTTTTTAATTTAAAAAATTAAGTACTGCTTTAAAAATATTATCTAGTATTTTGAGTTGAATACTATTGAGTAAAACCAATTCTTTATGAGGAAACTCCCAGTTTACTAATGATATGGCCAAAAATGGCTTTTAAGGCCACATTCTAGTTGTTAAAGATCACTAAAAAGATATTCTGTTACCTTGTACATGTTTATGATTTGCAGATGTCAGTAAGTGGTCCCTAAAATGCCTCTGGACTAGACCAGTCAGATTTAGGCCCATTACCAGGTTCAGACAGTGGAATTCAGATGAGGGAGCTATGTGGGCATAACTAAAGATTTATACACAGAGATGGATATTGAAATTCTTACCGTTTTAACACAACTTTATTGCATGAAACCTGGTATAATACTGACTTCATTCATTGAAGTCCAAGTCATTTCCTTCCCTGGAGGAAACGATTGATCACCCCCCGTGCACAAATCCATCTGGGCTGCTGAAGGAACTCTCTCACTTGTTTGGGCTGCCTTATAGGAAGAAAGCACATTGATTGGAATCCAAGGTGATGAGACAGTCTTTTGCAACAGAAGTCCAAGGAGAACAGTGTAGAACTTGCCACGTCTAAAAGTTTGTTTAAATTAAACATTAATGATGTTTAATTAAACAAACTTAATAATGTGTCTTGGGGGAAACAAAGTTTACTCACAATGAAGTGGGGGGAGAGGTATCAGTGATATGGATCCACCTTGCTTCATCTTCTCTTTAAATAGTCAAGACGGGAATGGCAGGGGCCACAGAGGACGTGAATGGGGGACTCTCCACAGACACCAGAGAGGTACTGAAGGTTTTAGGGTGTAGCACAGGCATCCCACGACCAAAGCTGCGTTTCAGAAAAAGGTGCCGGGCAGCACGTCCAATATGCACGATGGACTGGCGGGAAGGAGGAGGGAGGGGAAGCAAACAGAGGGTCAGACTGTTGAAGGGAGGGAAGGGGAGCATGAACTTCTGGGCTAAGGGACAGGAGCAGTGGGAGTGAAGAAAAGAGCAGATCTGAGATTAATTGAGATAAAAATCTGACAGAGGTAAGCAACAGGATGTGGGGGCTTAGGGGAGAAGGTGCCATGGCAAGTCCAAGCTGTGAGGACACAGGAGAAGGGGTGCTGCGTAGCCACCGCGGTGAAGCAGCAGGAGCGCAGTTCTAGAGTTCAGGGCTGAAGCCTGCAGCAGTCACCACACGTTCCCATCTCCGGCTGGAGAAGTCTGGAGAGGAAGAAGAGGGAAGGCCCAGATCTCAGGGGGCTCCTGCACGTGCGGGAGGCAGGAGAGCCAGAGCAGGAACGCTAGGAGACGGCCGCAGAGAATGGTGGCAGGAAGGTAGGAGGCATCGCTTCAGAGAACTGAGAGGTCAGGGCAGCGACTGAGAACCGAGCACTTAAATGTGAGAACAGACACACAAAGTCTCCATGCGTAGAAACAAAGAACTTCCAACATTAGCTTTTGGGACTGGCCATTTCAAGAGCAAGCAAAAACACCAGAAAATAACCTTCTAATTAATAATTCTTATGGCCAATGAAAGTGTTTTCTTCTCTTTAAATTTATGCTGATGCTTGAATGTTAGCCGTCCCCACCAACCCTTCAAGAGAATCTTTGGTGCAACTGGGCACTTCCCATCATATCCAGGCTTTGCACTGACATCCCTATTTCTACAGCGCGTGGGTGGGTCGCTGTCTGTCCTGACCCAGCCTTTCTCAGCTGGGAAGGCTGTTGTCCATACGGACCCCTTCTTGCCTGCTGTTCTGTGTAGACCCTCATTGGATTTTCAGGAAAAGCTGAGCTTGCCAAATAGAGGGGCCACTGCCTTCTGGGCAAGGGCCTGAGAGTCGTTGCTTTCCGCTCGTTTGAACTGTAAGAACACACTCATGTCTGGGGGATTTTTACAAAGATGACTACCCAGGGCCGGGGAGAGCTTCATCGTCTCAGAACAGTTACGTATGTTCTGTCGTCAGTAGGTGGCAGTAGTGAGCTCCCAGCTGTTTTCTTGTGCTACTTTCTGGAATGGGTCATTTTTATTTTTGTTTGGTCTTTACCCTCCCTCTCTTTTTCCCTTTTTTTTTTGGAGACAGAGTCTTGTTCTGTCATCTGGGCTAGAGTGCAGTGGTGTCATCATAGCTCACTACAACCTCAAACTCCTGGGCTCAAGCAATCCTCCCGCCTTGGCCTCCCAAAGTGCTGGGATTACAGGCATGAGTCAACGAGCCTGGGCTTTTTTTCCTTTTTAAGGAACTATTTTGTAACATCCTTGTGTTGGCTTCATCCTCCCTGTACGAACTTGGCAGAGCTTAGAGTGCCTCTCTCTTACCAGATCTTCATTCAGTTCATCAAATAGAGCTCATCTTGCCTCTCTCTCACCTTCCCTGTCCTTTGCATTTGTCAACAGAGGAAGAATGGGCTGATGGATCATGAGGATTTCAGAGCCTGCCTGATCTCCATGGGCTATGATTTGGTAAGACAGAAGTTTGATATTTTACTAAGATTTGATTTTTTTTTTTTTTTGAGCTTGGATTTATATGATAGGAGGTGATCAGCTCAAAGTAAGGTATCGTATTTGGGATTCGTTTGTTTTCATTATATAGGATAATATTTTTCAAGGTCTGACTATTGCTATATAAAAATAATTTCACAGAGCCAGAATATATATTTTTATTCAGTCATTGGTCAGGTCTTTTTTTTTCTAGTAAAGGAAATGAGAATATAGGCTTTCTTGATGATTTTTTATACACCTTTCTTGAGATATAATTCACATACTACAGTTTACCCACTTAAAGTGTTCACTTCAGTGGCTTTTAGTATCCTGATGATTTTTAAAGTGCTGCTGCTTCTAATATTTTAAAAGATAAAAATGTTTACTAATAAATCAGCTAAGAAAACTTACATTTCCCCGTGGGTTGTGAAAGTGCCATACTTCTCTGTGACCCATTAATGTGTATTTTAAACATGACCTGCTTTGATTTCCTTCAGAACTTTCCAATAAAATCATGAGAGCCTAAACTGCATTCTATGTATTGATATCACTTCTCTCAGTTATAATCTGAGAAAAGGGCCCAACTCTCACTTTGACCTACTCTTCCGTAATGACGGTATGTGATGTAATCCATGAAGGCCACGATGGGTCACAGAGAGGAAAGAATTCTGACATTCAGGGGCTTCTGGCTTGAGGCTACAGCAACTTTTAAAATTGTTTGATGGCAGTAAACCCATGAGGGGAATCTCTTCCAAAGACCGAAGGGAAATGCAGATAGTACTTGAGTTTTCAAACATGGAGGAATTTGCATGCGAGTAGGGAAAGAATGACAATGGCACTGTTGAGCCTTGTGAACTGTTGAAGTACCTGGGTCTTTGCCACCTTGCCTCAGGGTGAAGCCGAATTTGCCCGTATTATGACCCTGGTTGATCCCAATGGACAAGGCACAGTCACCTTTCAGTCCTTCATTGACTTCATGACTAGAGAGACAGCCGACACCGACACTGCCGAGCAGGTCATTGCCTCCTTCCGCATCCTGGCTTCCGATAAGGTTTGTATTGATAGCTTTTCTTCTACTTTAGCCGTGGTCCACCACATCATTCTAACAGAAACAGTGTTGTGCACAAAAACCATTTTATACTAGTACCTTTTGTACAGTGTCAGCACTGAATTTGGACAGCAGCACAGAGACATAACAATGGTGGATCCGAAACAGAGAAAACACAGCATTCCATTGCTGGCATTTGTACCTGGGCTCATGTCATAGAGTTTTTATAGAAAGCACAGTAGTGTATATTTTCAATCCCATTTTACATTCTGGGTTGGTAGGAGTGACTCGGAAGAAACCATGCAATTCACATGTTATGGAACTGCGAACCTTCTCCTAAGAATCCAAGACCCTGACTGTGCCCAGCTCCTGAAGCAAAGCTAAATATAGCCGTTTAGTCATTTAAAAAGTGGCAAGCTTTCATGTCATGTAGCCTAGAAATTAAGTAGGAGTTTAATTGCAAGTTCAGAATTTTTAATTTCACCCCCTCCAAACAATAAAAACACCTCAGTATGTATAAATGCAGTTTGGGATAGGATTATTTTACCCTGTGTTCTGGCTAAGAGGATAAAGAACATTATCCCAAGGAAGTTAGGATGCCAAAATACATCAGCAAAGCCATGTTTATTACCTTAAAAAATCAGACAAGACCAACTATCTTAAAAATAATACATCTGCTTTCAAACGTCTTATTTATCATGGGTCTGGAGGGGGCAGAGTGCAGCTAACATAGGCGGTAATAAGCTGCGGCTCATTCCACCTCACCAAAATACTTCTACTGTAAATTACAATGTAATATTTTTGATTTACTTATTTTGACCTTCTCAGCTAGTCCGTTTCACCACAATTGTCCTATTTCCCATTGAACATTTTTTAAAAAGCTCCATTGTTAAATTGTCAGTTTTATTTTGTTTTAGAGAGAGATTTTCTCCAGTGGCAACATATTGCTAATTTTTTAATACATTGGGTAAGAAAATGACTCCATTTTCTAGATACACATAGTACATACATTTTTGTTTTTTAACAAATTTTAACAATTATGTTAACTATCCCCATGTGGGGCCGGGTGTGGTGGCTCACGCCTTTAATCTTAGCACTCCAGGAGGCTGAGGCAGGAGGATCGAGGTCAGAGGTCAGGGGTTCGAGATCAGCCTGAGCAAGAGTGAGACCTTATCTCTACTAAAAGTAGAAAAATTAGCTGGGCATTGTGGTGTGCATCTATAGTCCCAGCTACTTGGGAGGCTGAGGCAGGAGGATCACTTGAGCCCAGGAGTTGGAGGTTGTAGTGACTTATGATGATGCCACTGCATTCTAGTTCAGGCAACAGAGCGAGACTGTTGTCTTAAAAAGAAAAAAAATCCCTATGTGTTCTGATCAGTGTATGATATAAACCAAGTATCCCTTTGCTTTTCTGGTATGCAATTCAGATCATATTTATCCTTGTATTATGGCTCAGTTTGAGAAATATTGATGACAATGCTCCATTTGCCTTTATGAAGCACATTACATTTCCTACTGACCAGGTCACTTTATAGATAGGATTCTACAAGTAAAACTCTTTGTTGGTCATCTGGTACTATACCCAATAGACTCCCTAACCTTTACTCCTTTTTTAAAATTAAACAAATGCAAGAAATGTGTAAGTATTGAAACTGTTCCTGGGCTGGGTGCGGTGGCTCACCCTGTAATCCTAGCACTGTGGGAGGTCAGGGTGGGAGGATTACTTGAGCCCAGGAGTCTGAGGTTGCTGTGAGCTAGGCTGATGCTATGGCACTTTAGCGTGGACAACAGAGCAAGACTCTGTCTCAAAAAAAAAAAAAAAAAGAAAAGAAAAAATCCTGTTTGTGTTCTGGTGTTTTCTGCAACTGACTTTGCAAACACATGTGTCTTTTTTCCAGCCATATATCCTGGCAGAGGAGCTGCGTCGGGAGCTGCCTCCGGACCAGGCCCAGTACTGCATCAAGAGGATGCCCACCTACACAGGCCCGGGCAGCGTGCCTGGCGCCCTGGATTACACCGCGTTCTCTTCTGCGCTCTACGGGGAGAGCGATCTGTGATGCTGAGGTTCTGTAATCATTGATGCCATCAGAACGCAATAAAAGCTGAAGTCACAGTTTGTTTCCTGGAAACTTTGACAAGCTTTATTAAGTTAAGAGAGAGGGAAAAAAAAGGAATTTTGTAGCTCCATAACTGCTAGCAATGTAACACAGCTGAAATGAAGTTTCTATAGTATATGACATACTACGCTTCATAAATAGGTTTATTTCTGAATTTTTAGCTAAATGTAATGAAATACCAGGATGGTTTGATTCTTTGATTAAACAAAGCAAATGACTTGAGTAGTATAAAATTAGGAAAATCTAGGGGCAGAAGGAAAGTGAAAGAAATGTGAAAATCCAAAATACACAAGAGTCAAGACCAGGAAAAACCCCACAAATTGGTTAAAAAAATTTTTGATATTTTTAAGAAATTTTTCTTCATTTCTATTATGCTTAGGTGATTATCCCTAGGGGAATATACTTGGGATTCTAGTGTTTTATTTTCTTGCTTTTTCCAAAGATTAGCTCAATTTAAGTATAAGTAGTACTATCATGTCTTCAGGTGAATTTAATATTGAGATGGAACTGCCAGGGATTAAAAACAGACTACCCAGAAGATCTTTAGTACTTGAAATTTTTAAAATAGAGTTTATAGTCACCTCTTCTTTATTTAGGACATGATAGTGAGTTTTGATGCCTTACTTATCCTCCAGAGTAGGGACCTGAGGACACACGGAAGTCGGTTCAAGTGCCAGAGAGAAAGATGGAGTCACTAGATAAAGTTAGTTTTTGTAGTATTATTTATTGATTCCAGGTTCTCATGCTTTTTTTTGTTTAAAGCTTGCTAGTACAGGTTCTTACGAGATGACCAACCACATATAAGTGCTCTGTTTTTAAATAAACAGGTTTCTATAGTAGTCATTCATAACTAGAGATAAGTCAGAAACCAGTATCCGTCTAGCTCTCTAGGCAGGACTTCCTTATGCCTTTAGTTTTATGACCTGTTAAGGAAAAGCCAGAGTTAATAGGAAAGGGCTCATTCCCAACAACAGTGGAGGTAAGTTCTTACATTGCAGAACCTTTATATATCTCCTGTGTAGTGGAAATTAATAGCTGTTTTAGCCTAGTGTTCAGTGTGTGTTCGCCCCTGGGATTGGAGAGTACATCCTGACTAAGTTCCCGAGTCAGGCCCTGTCTGTGTCTAAGCCCTGCTCCATGACAGAGGACGCTCCGTGTACTCCTATTACCACGTCTAGATCTGCTGAGTGTTCATTCATTTTTTGCTCGTGCTGCCATGTGCTATAACTCCCCCCTCTGTTTTCCCATCTTGTTGACAGCTTGTAGAGAATAAAGCAGGAATTCTTTTTATATCTGAGTCCTTAATGATCAGGAAATGGCTTATAAACAAACAGAAACAGTTGCAAACAGCAATTACAGTGTTCCCAGAGAAGCAGGGATGTGCCTGTTACCTACAGTCTGTAGCCTCAGGTTTTTACAGATTTCCACTGACAGCTGGAAATGTGATATTTGCATTCGTCACTGTCTGGACAGCTGGAAATGTGATATTTCCATTCGTCACTGTCTGGTAGCTTGATACTTTTCCTACACTGGCCCATTTAGAACTTTCAACTTTTATAATTGCACTTAATTTGCTCCTTTATTAAGTAGTTGGTAGTTTCCAGATTCCTGAAATATTTGAATCCTTGAGCTTAATGCCAAACACTTTTCGGGTGGTGTTTAGATGAACTCTGACTCTTTATTCTATTTTCAAGCAGGTGCTATATTCCAGCCATAAACACTAAGGGAAAGCCAGGAAGCTGTTCTTCCTTTGAGGATACAGGGAGATTTGCAGGGTTTTAGGGTGGGTATGGGTAACTCATCTATCTAAATTTTTCATTTTTTTTTTACAACATTCAGCAAGAGAATGGATCAATACTATCTGCTAATAAATGAAGAAGGGAAATAAACTCTGAAAAACAGTAAACATTTATATTCTCATTTTAGGAGTTATTTTTATTTCTAAAGCTGAATGATCAATTAAACTTAATTTGTAAAAGAAAAAAGAATCCCTGTTTTTATTATTTCAAAGAATAACCAGTCGCCTTGGTTAATCACAAATAAATTTCCTCACTTAAAGTTTCCATCATAATTGAAAATATTCATTTGGGTTAGTATTTTGCCCCCCTTAAAGAATTAGAACTGGCTTGTTGGGTAAGAGAGTGAATTTCGGATGGGGAATTGAGGTTGAACCACTTAGAAGTGAGCGATGAATGGATTAGGAAGGAATTTTTAACCAGGAGATCAGTTCGGAATCCCCACTAGATGTTTTTTAAAAGGTATGCATACCTGGCCCTAATCCTAGAACTTCAAGTTGTGAAGGTCAAGACCTGGACATCTGTATTTTTTTAAAAACTCCATGAGGATTTTAATAACCTCTGGATTAGAGATAAAGGAAAGGTCATTAGTAGTCAAAGAGTCTCAAACAATTAGAGAAGCCCTTAATGGAAAGGTTAGTAGCTGGACCATATGAACGGCCAGGCAAACTCTTGAACCATCTGGTTGGTAATTTTGAAATGTTTGACATAACTGAGTTTTAGGTTGGAACACTTGGCTTGGTATTCCTTCCTGCTGTATCCCTGATTCATCTCTGTTCATGAACTAGAGCTCTTAATGATACAAAGTCAGAAACTTGTATTTTAAGAAGTTGCTGGTTGTTACCAGATGACAAAAATTCACCCACAGTTTCCCTGGATTATTTGACAAGCAGCACTAAGTGTTCCCACCGTGTCCTTGAGCTGTCTCGGGTTCCTCGGAGCCTACACGATGATTATACTGTTCTGTCTGAGGCATGTTCATATTTCATGCAGAATCAGGAGAGAAGGAGACAGTGGGTTGTTGGGTTTCTTTTTTTTTTTCCTTTTTAGATTCATTAATGAATAACTCGAATCTTAAGGTGGGAGCTGGGAGTGGTCATGATTTGTCAGTAAGAAGCCCTAGCCATGAATTCCCCAGGGCCTTTAGGTCTGTTGTAAGTTACTGCCACAGCAATGCGGACTTCCTTGTTGGTAAAACAGACGAAATGCTTGGGAGCACACCAAGACGCACCCACAAATCCTTCTGCATGGCTAGGAACTTGCAGGAAACCGCAGTGGCAGACACACAGGAAACCCGTCACCATAGGTCTTTACAAGACAAGCTACCAGAGGAGAAAGATTTGCTCTGAAAATAGAGGGAAAAGAAGGGGGACCCCATGCATACTCAGTAGGAACAATGAAATAATATTGTGGTCAGCATTTAATTGAATAATTCTGAAATTAGGTAGGTGACCGATGGCAAAACCAAGAAGGGCAGCCCTTATCAAAAGTAGATTAAATAGAGTTTCAGTACCTTCCCTTCCTCATCTGTTAAGTATCTTCTACTCCAGGCCCCTTTCTGACTGTTCAAAGCCTTCGTGCTGCCCCGAAGTCCAAAGGACCTCTCTGTAGCATTGCCTGGAACACTTCCTCCCTCTAAGCTGGTTCTTCCGCTCCCCTGTCGCAACTCCAGGTGCGCATTAGATTCACCAAGTTACTTTTTAAAGTTACTGATGCCTGACTCCCCACCCCAGACCAATTCAATCAGAATAGGGGGTGGGGGTGGGAGGACCCAGTCATCTGTATTAGTCATTCCCGGATTAGTCCGTCGTCATCTGAGAGCCATTGTGCTAAACAATCAAAACATAATCTTTAATGGCCTCAGCTCTGCTCTGCTCTGTGACCTGTTAAAGAAATAAGCAAGGAATCAACGTGTTGATGTAAAGGGGTGCTGTTAGGGACAGAGAAACAAGTGAGAGGTAACGGAAATCAGAAAAACAGAGAGGAGAAAGCAGTTATAGAAAAACAACCAGGAGGAAATGGTTACCGAAAAATAAAAAGAGGAAACGTTATTTCAGTCTTAAAGAATGGGGTCATTAGGCCATGGAACACCGACTGCCAGTCAGAGAATGGAAAAGGAACCTTCCCCACGGAACGTATAACATGACTTTTCAGTCATGTCCAACATAGAAAGGAATTCAATCCTAATTACAACTAACCTTTACCTAAACATAAAACATAAAAAGAAAAACATAGATGTAGACAGGGTCTTCTCCACTCACGGAGACAGACCCATTTCCCCTTAGGAAATGTACTTTCGCTTTGCACCCTTAAACTTCACCGGCAATAAATTCGTCACGCACACTTAATGAGTGTCTGTCATCTCCCTCTCTCCCCGCCAGAGCTTGCGATTCCTCCAAGCCAGGAGTGCGAGAACTGGGGCAACACTGCAAAGTCCAGCCAGGGACTGAACCGTGACAAGTGTCAGCTTCTCACAAGTGCCAACAAGCATTTTCTCTGGCCACTCTTACGTGCACCTCAGACCCACCCTTCCCTGAGCAATGTTATTTCCAAAACATCATCCTTTTTTCTTGTCCTTTCAGATGTTTCAGATGTTGGGAGTTTTCCGTTTCCCCCTTTGTGAGGCCTTCCTAGCTCAGCCTAACCTTCCTAGGCTTAGCTTCTCTGCCATCACAGCTGCTGATCCTCGCTCCTGCCTACGGCACGTCACACGCTGCCCTGGGCTAGCGGTGCGATGAGTCAGCCTCCCCTGCTAGACTGACATCACCGAGGGGAGGGACTTGTGTTACTCTTGCATCCTACAGACCTGGCACGTGACAGGCAGTAAGCATCAGGTGATCAGCAATTTTGCATGCTTGTGTGAGTTTGAGTATTACTGAATAGCACCCATAGGAATGGGAAAAGGTAGAAACAGGCCATGTCTGGAGAGAGGAGGGAGAAGAATTAAAACCGATGAATTGCTTAGGGTAGTGGTCTTCCATCTGGAACCCCCGTGCCCAGGAACACGTGAGGATGTCCAAGTGCTGCATGGAAACAGAAGCTTTTAATGCATTTCTAGATTTTCAACTTCATGTGTGCTCTAATATCACGGTCTCCTTTGTCATTGTCGCTTGTACAATAACTCTTCCGCTTTCCAAAGTGCACCCTACCATGTTGTAGTGGGGTTCAAAAATAAAAAAAAAAAGAAAGAAAATTGCACCCTCACCCATCTAAATC